TTCAACCGACTCCTCCCACAATGCTTTAACTTTTAAATTCATCAATCTTTCAGCTTTTTGAAGTAAAAAGCAAATGAAAGCGTCAACCATTTCCTTATTAACTCTGAAACAGTCCTGCATTTCTGAAATAGCAGAAGTTATTTTGAGTATTGAAATAATGATCTCACTTTCCCAAGCACTTAGCTTCAGCTGTTTTGTTTGTGGGCAGGGCAGGAATGTCCAAAATTCACACATGGACTCATGGTGAATCTCTGCATAAACAAACATGGTATTTCAATATGGATTACTGTGTTAAAGAAAAGCTTTATATAATTAAAAAAAAATGGTGTACTGTATTTCCAACGTTTTGAAATACAAAAAAAAAATGTATCTTGTTAGAAGCATTTCATAGACCCTCTGAGTCTAAAATAGTTTTAAAAATTAGGACAAATTAAAATTAAACTCATTGGCCTGGTCTAATTTTAAATGACACGAAAAGCTTAGGACAGATAAGGAGGAATGTTGGTAGGTATGTTAAACTTAAGGATTTAAAACTACTAAAACTATCATATATATGCAAATTCTATAGCAAATTATTATTATTATTTTTAAATATATTTTATTGATTTTTTTACAGAGAAGAAGGGAGATAGAGAGCTAGAAACATCAATGAGAGAGAAACATCGACCAGCTGCCTCTTGCACACCCCCTACCGGGGATGTGCCCGCAACAATGTACATGCCCTTGGCCGGAATCGAACCTGGGACCTTTCAGTCCACAGACAGTCGCTCTACCACTGAGCCAAACTGGTTTCGGCGCAAATTATTTTTTAAAATTGGAAGACAAAGTGCAGGAAACACAGTTAAGGAAGTTAAACTTGTATTTCTTTGGGAGGGAATGAATGAATAGCAGATGAGATAGGATTGTTAGAAAAACTGGGAGAAGTAAGAAAAAGGTCTAACAACCTCACCATTTTCTTTCATTGGAAGATACAACTAAAACCAATAGAAGTCTAATTTGATAAATAAATAAGTCTTAAACAAGTAAGTTTTGATCATAAAATTTAATTATGTTTCAGAAAAAAATTGAGCTAATTACTTTCTCTGAAAAAATATATTGACTCTGTGTAGTTTGCAGTTATGGGGGGAGATGGAGGCTGGTAAGTTCAATGACCTATTTTCTATTCTGAAAATAACAAAAAGTCCTATTTCCAGTCTGATTATAGAGATGCATGTGCCCCAAATGGCTGAGAATAAATACCACAAGAAAGGCAAAAGCTGCAAAGCTAGGGCATGTTATAGACTCTAAGAAAAAGTCTCAGAAATACCCAATGTGGCGACAAAGAATATCTGGCTACAACTTGGAGTTCTTTTCAGTCATCTTTATCTTTTGCTCCATGTTTAAGGATGCGTGTGAACTCGATGTAATTGAAGTTTCCCTTTTTATCAATGGGCGCTTCTCTGTACAGCTCATCCACTTCCTCATCTGTAAACCGATCTCCCATTGTCGTCAGCAGCTCTCTCAGGTAATCTTCCTGAATGGTGCCTAAAAAATAAAGAATGGGGGTTCAGAATATATACTACTCTAAAGATTAATTACAAGGAGCATCTACACTTCACTATGCATGCTCTATGCTAAGAACTGTAAATATGCACATACATGAAATACAGGTCTCTAAATGGTTAAGTCAGCCTCAGCAGTTGCCTAGAAAACGGGTAGTTTCCTAGTGGTATTAACCTGCTCTGCTCTCTCAATCTTCCTCCACATCCATCTCCTGATCTCTTGATAATAAGGGCTAAACTTATGCCTAAATAAAAGCAATATAATATGATTAAGGAATCTATGCCGCATAGTTCCTTAAAGTAACATGAATGGTCATACGTATTCTATAAGTAAATAACTCTAAAATCAATACCACATTATAAAATCAATAAAGTGCTTCAGTGGAAAGAATGCTGGAGTCTTGAGGTCCAGTTCTAATAAGCTATGTTATTTCAGGTATTTCACTTTAACTCTTTGTTTTTTAATATATAAAATGAGATTCTTAAATGTGTGTGTTTTTTTTTTTTTAAACAAATCTAATTTAGATTTCATAACAAATATGGCCAGGCCCAGAGTGTGCAAAAATATTCTATAAATATCTGAGCATTAATTACGCCACAGTCACTGGGCTAAGAATTGGGGATAGGAGTGATGAGCCGACAGGTGTGCTTTCTTCTCGGGAAGTGTGAAAGCAAGTTTCTTATATAATAAAACCTAACTGCACATGACAATCAGAATCGTCCACAGAGCTTAAAAAAAAGAAGTCCTGATGTCACCCTTGCTTTATTATCTGGCATTGATATTTTTATTCTTTAAAATTGATTTTAGAGAGAGGAAGGAAGGGAGTGGGAGAGAGGGAGAAAGACATCAATGTGAGAAACATTGATCAGTTGCCTCCCCCACACGTACCCGGACCAGGGATCAAACCCGGAACCCTGGGTATGTGTCCAGGCTGGGAAATGAATCCGGTGCCATTTTGTGTATGGGACAACACTCCAACTAAATGAGCCACTTGGCCAGGAAAAAGATATATATATATGTGGGTGTTTTTTTAAAATCTCAGATTAAATTGGAAAAACAACAACAAGAACTATAGCTCTAGAGTTTCTTATGGGAAGTGACCTTATAATTTAAACTAATTTTATAGGAAATGTATTATCCTTCGGTGAGGATAAAAAACAAACAAACAAACAAGTAACAAAAATCTTAGATTTTCAGCTTGTAGAAATAAATCATCATCTATAGCCACGTCATTCAACTATCACATGAACTAATCATTGACTATGTGCAATGGGCTGTGGTGGGTGGTAGAAGGGCTTACAGAGATGGGAAAATAATGCCATTGAAGACACAGCCATTACCCTAGAAACAGAGAGAGACAGTGATGATTGGAAGTAAGTACCCACAGTATGTATCAGAAGAGAGATAAATAAAATTATTTGGAAGTGGAAAGAAAGGAGAGATGCCCTAGCTGGTTTGGCTCAGTGGATAGAGTGTTGATCTGCAGAGCAAAGGGTTCCAGGTTAATTTCTGGTCAAGAACACATGCCCAGGGTTTCGGGCTCGGTCCCCAGTGAGGGACATGCAAGAGGCAGCCAATCAATGATTCTCTCTCATCATTGATGTTTCCATCTCTCTCCCCCTTTCCCTTCCTCTCTGAAATCAATAAAAATATATTTTAAAAAAAGAAAGAGACTTTAAATTTTTTGAGTAGGAAAAAACTATGAAAATATAGACTAGGCTCTATAAAGAATATGACAATTGAGGAGTTTGAAGAATAGATAAGACATTTTACTCTTATGGTTTTATTCCCCTCAATTAAAAACAAACATCTGCTTACAATTTAAAAATTCAATCAATACATAAGTGTCTTTAGGAGAAAAAAAAGTAAGTCTCCTCTGCCTGCCTCTTCCCCGGTCCTCACAGAAAAAAAATTTTTTTAAAGAGTTTCAAGTTCAGGAGGAGTGAGAGATGGTATGGTGAGGGAGCCTTAGAGACAGAAATGGTGGAGGTAAATTAAGACACCAATGCATGGAAGGAGGCTAGAAAGATGATATAAAAGTCGAGAGTAGTATACTTGAATAGGGCAAAAGAGGCTATATTGTGGGGAGCCTGGAAAGCCAAACTGGGGACAGTACGCTTCCATTACCAAACTGTGCTTGGCTTATTTAAACTACTCCAAGTAATGCATAACCAAAGGGTGTGCCTTCCTTTTAAAAGCTTGCCCCCTTGCCGAAGCCGGTTTGGCTCAGTGGTGGAGCATCGGTCTGCGGACTGAAGGGTCCCGGGTTCAATTCAGGTCAAGGGCATGTACATTGGTTGCGGGCACATCCCCGGCGGGGGATGTGCAAGAGGCAGCTGGTCGATGTTTCTCTCTCATCGACGTTTCTAGCTCTCTCTCTCTCTCTCCCTTCCTCTCTGTAAAAAATAAATAAAATATATTAAAAAAAAAAAAAAAAAAGGCTTGCCCCCTTATCTTTTCTCTTATATATACACTTCTGTCAAAGGATCAGGCATTTATGTAGTTATCTTTTTGGGTTTTTCCTGAGAGTTAATTCTGGACCAGGCAGTAATGCTATTATCTCATTTTCTCATTTAATACAACAACTCTGTGAGATAGCTAATATTATTGCCCATTTTACAAATAAGAAATCAGAGATTAGATAGTTAAGTAACTTGCCCCAACTCACACAATTATTATGCAGAAAAGGAATATGAAACCAGAGTGTTTCATACCAAATTTAAACAATCTCAGAACTGAGAGGTACCTGATAAACACAGGACCGTACTGGTGTCACAGCCTATAGCAATTTACACTTTACCCAAGATTGCACTGGTAAAGTTATTCATTCAACACATATTTACTTTAAGCCTAACCCTTATGGAGTATAACTTCCTAAAAACTTTCAAATACACCCATTAAATTTTAAATCAAATATTTAAATGCAGAGGCAGTAAACTGAGTGATGCCATAGGAGAAGCATATCTAAAATAAAACTGAAATCAATAAAATGGGGGTGTGCAGGAGGCATCTGGTTGATGTTTCTCTCCCATCGATGTCTCTAACTCTCTATCCTCTCTTCCTCTAAAAAAAAATAATAAATTAAATAAAATAAAACTGAACACACAGGTAAGGTATAAACCTGATACTATGTCATCATATTTCAAGTATATATATATATATATATATATATATATATATATATATATTTTTTTTTTTTTTTTTTTTTTTTTTTCCACAGAGGAAGGGAGAGAAAGAGGGACAGAGAGCTAGAAACATCGATGAGAAACATTGACCAGCTGCCTCTTGCACACCCCCACCAGGGATGTGCCCACAACCAAGGTACATGCCCTTGACTGAAATTGAACCTGGGACCTTTCACTCCACTGACCAACACTCTATCCACTGAACCAAACTGGTTTCGGCAAGTTATTATGTATTTTAGTTACCATAACTAAAAATTAAATCATGGTAATTACCAGTTGCTTCTTCATCAAAGCAAGCGAAAGCATTTCTGATGACATCTTCGGGATCTGTGCCATTCAGCTTCTCGCCAAACATCGTGAGGAACATGGTGAAATTTATGGGGCCCGGAGCCTCGTTCATCATGGCATCTAGATACTCATCTGTCGGATTCTTTCCTAAATGAAAAGGAGGGCCATAATTCTGATTACATCACAAAATATATCACCTATTCATCATAGTACACATTTTGGCAAAAAAAAAAGACTGTCAATTTGCTGTTTACCTTCATGATAGCAAAACTATTAGGAAAATAGTCTTCTTAATGAATAGGGCCTATATTAAGAGTGGAGATTATATACTATTCCATTGTAATGTCTAAAGGAATGATAATGCTCTCATAATCAAGATCAGTCCTTGCAATACAAAAGTAACTGGCCCCTAGCCCAATCGTGAGGCCAGAAATATGCGGGTGGTCCAAGGACCATACTTTGGGAGACAATACTCTAGCCTTTGAATCTCCTATAGTAAACTATAACATCATTAGATTGGCTTCACAGAGCTTTAAGACTTAAAAAATAAAAATAAAAGACTTTACAAAAATCCTATCTTTAATAATAAAAGCATAATATGCTAATTAGACCGGAGGTCCTTTTTGATGTCCTTCTTTCCAGACAAAGCCAAAGTGGATGAGGACTGAGGCAGAGACAGCAGAGGCCCCAGCCATGGCAGCGGTAGGGCCAAGGCCCTTGCACAAATTTCGTGCATCGGGCCTCTAGTCTAGTATATTAATATTAAAACTGATCATTACCCAGGGAGGCAAGCATATCATGCAAATCTTCCTTGTCAATGAAACCATCTCTGTTCTGATCAATCATGTTGAAGGCCTCTTTAAACTCCTGAATCTGTGATTGGTCAAACATGGCGAACACATTGGATGTTGCGCGCTGGGGGCGCTTCTTGGTGGTCTTGGTCTTTGCCCTTTTGCTCGACATGGTGGTGGTGGTTAGATCCTAATTAGGAAGGGAAATATAAAAAGACAAAGAACAACAAAAGGTGAAATGAATCTTCCTTATATGTTTAAAAATTATTTTAAACGTGTCTAAAAATTATTCAGCAGGATAGTATCACTTGGCAAAAATCTCTCAGTTAATTAACATTACTCTTGGAACCAAACTACAAAGAGAACCAGAATCAAGCTTTGAGTTCACTCATCTTAGTAGTTGTGACATTTAATCAATAGTTGATCACTAACTTTAACTTCCAAACTATAACCAACATTAATTCAAAGCCTAGAGCATATCAAGATTGCATATCCCCACGTTGCTGTATAGTCTAATAAGAACTGATAACCAAATCTACTGGTTTAATAGCAACATAGAAACAAGAAACAAAAGGACGCAGGTACCCTGGGGAAGCAGTTCCAGTTCTATACTTCAGTGACTTGGAAGTATTGAGGAATACTAATTCATTTTCAATAGGTCTATCCTTCTACAGCCCTAGCCTATACTAGTTATTCCATTCTAAAGTAGACAGAAAGTAGGACGACTAACTGATGGAACACAGCTTCATCTCTTTATTGCCAAATATTTTCACTTCTAACTAGCATTTCTTACTGCACCCTTACTTCTGGAATCTTTGTCAAGAAAGTTATTTGTTGTCCTAGCCGATTTGGCTCAATAGATAGAGGGCTGGCCTGAGGACTGAAGGGTCCCGGGTTTGATTCCAATCAAGGGCATATGCCCAGATTGCAGCCTCGATCCCCAGTTGAGGGAGTGCAGGAGGCAGCCAATCAATGATTCTCTCTCATCATTGATGTTTCTATCTTTTTCTCCCTTTCCCTTCCTTTCTGAATTAAAGATATATTAAAAAAAGAAATTTATTGAAAGGCTAACTGAAAAGTATAGAAAACTCTGAAGTTAATTAATCTATAATATTTCCACTGATATTTCCACTTTACACAAATCAATTTCTTGCACAGAGTCAAGCTTGAAGTGACTAAGTTTTCTATACAAAATCAGAGCACAGTATTTTTTAAAACTAATTTAGTTTTTCTTTTTAAAGTTCGGAAACTATCTTTGCTCTTTAATAATCTAAATTTATCCCTATAAAATTTAAGTTAAAAGCAAGAAGAATACTAACACCTAAAATGAAAAGGCTGAATCTTTAAAAAACAAACAAACAAAAAACAAAACAAAAAAAAAACTATAGCATTTTAGTTGGTAGTTAAAAATCCCATTGTTATCAGATAAAATTTTACCATACCATCCTTCAGAGCTGAGGTAGTGATAGTAGTCTGCAAAACCTCTAATGAGCAAGACTAAGACACTGTACTGAGTTATATTCTTCCAAGCAGATCTAAAATAGGCACCACTGATTTCATTCTCTGACCAGGATAACAATTTTAAAGCTTACGTTCTGAAAACATTTAGCTATGATGTAGCAAAACACTATGCCCTTGGTCTAAAAATAAGTCTGTGGGTTGCAAAGAATGAAGCACTACCTAGATCTCAGCACTGCAAAGTGACCTTAGAATACAATGCTTTGTATGAGTTTAAAGTTACTTCTTACATTCTTTCCTTGGTTATACCACATTTTCCAGACAAAATTCAATCATGGAAATAATTAGAAAAACTCTGCCTTAGTTTCCCCTCCCCCAAGCTAAATATGTTCTTAGATTTTAGTAGGAAATTCCACAAAGGAAATTCCACAAAGGAAATTCCACAAAGAAAACTCACAAATTATAGTCCATCCAATACAGGACCCTGTGGCGAAACACTGGAATGGGTTGTTGGCAAGATATAACTTACATGACACTGAAATTATGACATATACTTTTTCCTGATTTCCAAGTTTCCTTTAATCACCCTTTAGAAGACGGTCTTTCATAATTTACCGAAACCATTCACAAAAACATTATTTTCATGCTGTAACACCTTCTCTGGATAGTAAATTCCATTATTAACTACATAAAGCTGTAACTTCCCCCTCTATTCTAAATGTAGTTTTAAAAACTGCAAGAAGTATGGAGTATATTATCCCGTCATCTCCTAACTGTTCTGAGGGACTTAGGGTAAGTGGTTGAAACCCGATGAGTGGCACTTATTTACCAGTGTAAATCTGTTTATTATTTTAGGCATGCCATGTCATTGCAAACCAAAGCACATGTTTAAAAATAGTCTGTTTTGTTTGACAACATTGTCTTCCTCTAATGATGCAGGAATGTCAGTTATTATAAGACCAAAGAAACGGATGAGAATTTTAAGTCAATGGTTGACAACTGATTTTTGAATCTACAAAACCTCATGTTGTATGGGGGGCGGCCTCTAGGTACTTTTAAAAAATACTTAATTTGGGTTATAAAGTAATATACATATGTTGAATTCTGATGTATTTCCTATTAGTCTTTCTTTTAATCATGCATTCTTTAAGTTTGTAAATGAGTTATAGTTTTTTTTAAAGTTATAAAGTTTTTTGAGTCAGCACTTACCTAGAACTTTTCTTTAGCTCATTCAATATTTATCATCAACCTTTAATATAATCAATTAATAGCAATAATGTGCATCAAATGTCACTAATGTTGAAAACTATTTAAAAATTAACAAATATAAAGCAAGTGTCCTATCTTTAAGGAGCCTAAAATTATGTTGGGGAGGCAACAATAAGGAAATAAAATGATTGGTTCAACTTATGAAATGAGTCACATAGTTTTCATTCCAGAAGTATGACTCTCAAGTTAAAACAATGTGTGACAATAATGAAAAATAACTCAAAGGTAGTACATGATTACAAAATACTGTGAGTTCTGAAAAAATCTTTGTTTCTAAAAGAGAGGGGGATAAAAAGACCCTGAAAAACCCTGCTCCACTTAAGAGGTACAAGACATTAAAATTAAGAGATGCAGATGTTAGTCTTAAATTCTACCAAACATTGGTAGTGCAACATTGGGAAAGTTACTACCTTTTTAAGGAAGTTATAATCTATTCTATTCATTTATCTCCTATCAGAATTCCTGGGCCTTTCAGGGATAGAGAGTTTAGCTTCACAGCTAGTTGTTCCAAACAAGGAAAGTCAGTGTATTTTTTCCTACTAAACTAAAAGTATGGGGTGGAATAAACGCCAGTGGAGAGGGAGCCAAATCAGGAACTGTGCTATGATCCCAAGGAGCAAATTAGTATGATATTGTCATTATATACCTTGCTATGGCTAAGTTTTCAGTCCATTTTTACATTCCTCAAACAATTAAGACTGTAACTGTCTTAATATAAGAAGACCTCAGAAAATGCGTAATTCTCAGAGAAATTTAGAAATCCGGGGTAAAATGAAAATATTTCATATAGCAATGTAAGTATTCTTTATTTAGGATGGGAAGATTACCACATAGACACCTGAGAATTCCCAATTATGAGGATCCTCACTCATTCTAGAGTCTATTTTTCAAGCATCTAATGGAAGATCTTTGGTGTGAAGGCATATGTGTTGTATGAAACTTAAAAACAGAGTGATTTGCAGATCACACTTCTTTCTATGAAATACATCAAGATTTCAGATGCTTGAGCAAGTCAATAAACAGTCAACAAAGGTCAAGGAGATTCAGTTTACAGATCTAAAGGAACAAAATGTTTTAAACCAAGGGAGTGAGAGGAGTGTTGGTGACAAATGACTTTGTGGTTTCATTTATTTATTTATTTTTGCTTGATTAAATATAAAATCATTTAGGGGTATGACAAAAGGAGAAATACATGCAAGGAAGATGTTAGCATAGATTAAATAGTATAAGTGAAAAATAAAAATCCTCAAAGAGGATTTCCCCACATACCAATGACAACCAGAAGATTTTTCAGAATCTCTCCATACTATGGTTTCATTTATAAAATGAGATTAATCCATAGTAGTATTACATTAGGCTACTCTAGGTAGAATCCTAGAGTATAACACTTTTAAAGTGGTAATAAATGTCAGATAACATAAGACTTTTTCTGTAGAATTACCATTCAAATTGACAGTATTGTGGGAGATACGATATATTCTTTAAGAAAAAAACCCCCATATTGGAAACACTTCCTATAATATAATAGTATTTGGTCAGCTTCCCAAATACAAACCAAATAACTTAACCAGTGCACCTTTTTTCAAGCTAATTATATGTAACATTTTTTGTGCCAACCAGTTTTTTAAAAGTACATTTTAAAGTAGGTGCTTCTGTTCTAACTAAACCAAGTTTTCAATTCCTGTGCAAACTTCCGGCTGCCACACCCAAAAAGCTCTCAGCACTTGACAAAGGCATTTAGTTGTTGGGGTTGACTTGCCGGTAAATCCTCATGATGGAAAAGAAAACGTTTTTCTGGTTAACTTTCATCAAAAGCCTTCCAGGACATGAAACATAATAGCAATTTTAAACACTTTCTTCACCTTTGGATATAAAAACTTATTGCACTTGTTAAATTCTCAACTGAACACCTATTTCTGTTCCAAAGTTCTGTAAAGAACGAATATGTGTCCTCATATGCCCAAAAGTTAACACTGGCAAACTGACTTAGTCCAAAGTCTCCACTCCAAAGGAACACGGTGTTATGTTTTGGAATTTTTCCGCAAGCCGCAAACTCTCTCTCTCTCTCTCTCTCTCTCTCTCTCTCTCTCTCTCTCTCTCTCTCTCTCTCTCTCTCTATATATATATATATATATATATATATATATATATATATATATATATATATATAGTAGTTCTAATTACAGAAATGGGATACTGAGCTGAGGAAGCTAATTTAATTAATTCTTCCTACTAAACGTAGCTCCGCAGCTGCAACAGCTGCAGCGGCGGGGCGGGGCGGGGCTCGGACGCCGGGCTCGGGTTTTTACGCAAATTCTCCCGAATCGGGCAAGTCTACGTTACAAACTAAACATAGTCCCGGAGTCAAGAGCCGGGAGGCTCGGGTTGCACTGGCCGGGCTTTCGCCCAAGCTGGCGGCGCCGGCGGGCTGAGCCACACTCCCCGAGCCCCAAATTAGGCGAAGGCGTCCAGGTCGCAGTTGGGCCACTGGGGCGGCGGCCTCCGACCCCGGAGCTGGCCCTGCGGCTTGAAGCCGGGTACCCGGCTCGCACACCTGCCCAGGTGCGCCGCCGCCCTCCCGGCCGCCCGGCGGAGACCGGCCCGCGGGACGCGCCCCGCCTGCCGGGCCGCGAGCACCAACTCACCCCGAACTGCCGCGAGAATGGAGCGCTTCAGAGACCCTCCTCGCTGCCGCTGTCGCCGCCCTGCTACACCCGGAGCCGCTAAAACACAACACTTCCGGCCTCCCCTCCGCAAACCGGAAAAGAGCCTGGTCACCATTCTTTGCCAACAGGATGGGCCTGACTTAATGGGAAGGCGACAGGGGCGCGCGGTTGCCACTGACCTAAAAGGGCGCAATTTTGACCGAGTGCACAGGAAGGACTATAAAGCGGCGGCTTAGGAATGAGTCATGTGTAGTGGCTCGTTGGATATAACGTCTGAGTTTTTGTGTTTTTTTGTGCCACTCTTCTATGTATTTCTCCCCCCCCCTTCCTGTGGGCAGATGGTTGGGTCTGTCCTTGGGGGTTAGCCGCTACACACCTACCAGGCTACGGCCAGGGGCGGGACTTGTCAGTCCAAGGCCTTGTAAGGGAAAGCGCCGAGAGGGCTGCGCGGCCCACGTGACTGGCTTCGCCCCGCCCCCCAGCGCCCGGATCGGCCTCCCGGTCGTGCGCCTGCGCGTAGGACTCACCTCAGGGGCTGGAGCTACGCTGGCGGGTCGCACAGCTGCGCGCTCGCGTCACCGCGTAGGTGGCCTTAGCGCGAGCGCTTTCATCTCCGTGCGCCGTGTTCTTTTATGAAGAGTCCCACCCCAGCCACGCGGGAGCCAATTTTTGTAAAGTCCCAAGGGCCCTCAGCCAAACGGCCACTACCTCTTTGGCCCAGACGGATTTCAGAAGGTCACAAGCGGCCGAAGACTTCCTTCTTCAGAAACGTTTGCTATTCTTTTTTCCTGTCTCCCTCTGACAATTAGGAGAGCTGACTGGATCCGACCTGGAAGACAGGCGACCAGATACAAGAGCTTACTAAATCTCGCCCCAACCTCACTGTGGTGCAGATTTGTGGCCTGTTGCAAATAGGAGTCAAAAAGTCAGGGCTATTCCCCCCCTCCTCCTCAGCTCTCCTGGCCTAGGGACAGCTCTGAAAATGCACCTTGTTAGGGGAAAAGAGAAAGCATTCCCTTATTCTTTTTCTGCCCAGAGTCTGGTGCGGTGCG